GGGGGAGGGATACAAATACAAAAATACTAAGTTTGCAAAAGTTTGTGTTTTTGTACTAGCAATTGGCTGCTAGCTTCTTTTGCCGAAGTCCCTGGGAGTTGCTCCTATGGTATCTGTTCTGAACTCCAACTGACCTGATCTAAATTAGGTCGGGTTTATGCATTCACTGAAGAACTGGGCTTAACATCTCTTGCCTGGAAGATCAGAAACTTAACATCAAAAAATTAGCTCTAACTTTTTGTAGTCACAACGTGCTAACCTAGGTATTTTTAAACGGAAAGGTATACATAAATAATATATAGATGCATTTTTACTGGTTCAGAGTTATCTAGCACTTTTTCATAATGTTTGCAGAACAAAATTCATACTCTTAACACAATCATATCCAGTCTTTATTCTCTCCTCTCCTCCTGCATATAATATCAGTAAAGATTCCAAGTTGCTACTGTATTTCTAGTGCAGCTGAAAAGTGTTTCAGTATTAGACAGCTATCCGTTATTTAAGGGAATGGAGGAGGTGTATCAACGTTATGTGATCTACTTGCAGATCCTTAGGTGAGGAAAGAGGGTTAGTCTAAACCAATTTAGGTCCCAGCTGGCTGCAGAAGAGCAAGCACTTTAGCACAAAAAGTGGTGTTGATAACTGAAAATCTTCCATGACTGTCCTAACAGCATGAAAGGCTTCTGTAACCTACTAATCCAGGGCCCCTCATCCATGAGGCTTTTCTGGTTAGAGACACTAACTTCACTGCTTGTGTTTGTGCCCAGTCGCCTTTCCCCCCATGCTTTCTCTTCACTTACTAGATGTAATTTGTGTTGTATCCCTTTCTCTGGAATGAACTTTTCAGTGTATGTGGTCAGCCATTTTGATTACTGCAAGTACACTCATTTGTGGAGCCACTGTGCAGGACAAACCAAAACTTATTTAAAAATGATCTACTCTATCCTGGGCCTAGATATAGTTTTTACATGCTTGAAATTCCCATTTGCATCTGTGGGAGACACATGCATAGACATTGTGCTAAAATGTGGGAGACACATGCATAGACATTGTGCTAAAATCAATGCTATTCACACTTGGTATAAACATTTTAGAAATCTGCAGTAAAATTGTCAACTTAAATGTTTGTTTGCTGATTTACATCATAAGTGGAAGAAATTTATAATCAACATGCTATACAAAAGATTCGGAGGACCAAGGTTTCTAGCTACTTATACTGCCTTGTTGAGTATCTCATGTGTGTCTTGATTAGATGGTGTTAATTTGTTGTCTGAGACTGCTATGGTGATTGTTTTATCTATTTTATTTTAAAATATGTGGCAAGGAAGATTGTAATAAAAGCATCTAAAAGCATCTACCCATACAAATTGTTAGATCCGATTTTTGAATATGTTAACCGTTTCAGAATTAAACAAAACCAGAACAGTTTGATAGTGTTGCTGAGTAAAGTGGATGTAATTAAAGGTTTTTTTCAGTTGTATCCTAGTGTAGAAAATGGGTAGGTAGTTGAAGAACTTGCATTTGTACACTGTAATCATCCCAGTATAACGCAGTAGGTGTGCAGAAGAGAATAACATCCTTGTCTTCTGAATTTTCCTATGAAACTTCTTCAAAAAGAACAGCTACTAGCATTTTGCCCCACTGCTCCTGTATGCCTTGTACTGCATGTGTAGGACTTCTCTGTGCTGTGCATAAAAGGTGAGAAGAGAGGCTTGGGATAAGAACCGTAACGCGTTTCCAGTTCTAATCCTTATGCAGCATTTAGCTGCAGTACCCTTCACAGGGTAGTTTTTACCTCATTGCCTAGCTTAGAACATAAAAGACTGCAGTAGGAGACAAATCCTGCATGTCAGAGCAAGTGCTTCTGTCAGTACTCTGCATTTTCTACGCAAAGGCAGGTTCTGCAGGAGGCAGAGAGCATGTATTCAGTTTAATGAGAGCACTGGTAATTGCAGAAGATACTATGGCAGCATGGTTATGCCCACTGGAGAAGTTAGGTTTATAATTATACCCAAGAAAAACACTCCTCCTAACTGAAGGGTCTTGCGCATTTAAATAATGCCCTGAGACGCTAAGACAGAAAGGATGCAAATATTGGTCACGTTGAAGGTAAAATATTTCTTCATAAATTGAAACAGAAAACAATCCATTCTTTTGTATGACACTGCAGCCTCATTGGCTCGTTGATTAGTCCCATCATTGAACTCCTATTAAAATCACAGGTTAAGATTATCCAGAAAACATCGGTACTTCGTAAAAAGCATTTGCTTCTGATAATTGAGAACTTAACTGCTGAGCAGTTTTCTAGCCCACCAGCATTCTAAAACACATCGATTAAAGACACCCATGGAAACTAAGCTTTGAAACATTCAAGCAGAGCCCTGAAAATATCTCTTCTCTTTTTAAATAAACAAGTAAACCAGTGAGTTTATACCTGCTTGCAGGAGCAGATTTAAGGTACATTCTGATCCACAGGTTTTAGATCAGAAACCTGAAAAGTGACCTAAACTGCTAGAGAAGGGCTTTGAACGCAGAATCCAAGGTACCTGCTCTTGTCAGTACGCTCTTTTCAGGAAGGCTCAAGCTACTTTTTCATCATTTATGTGGAATCGGGAGGACGGTCTCCAGAAGGGGAGAATGTAGTTTGACTTTCAGCAGCTGAGGAGAGAGCTCCTGTCTGCTTTACCAGGTAACTGGTACCAGGTGCCAGCCCCAAAGCCACCAGCCACTGACTGCTCCAGCATCAATGATTCTTGAGGCAAATGGGATGCTCCCAAGTATGTTCCTGAATAAGCATGCATTCCTGGATTAGAGCCTCTACAATGCAAATAACAGTAATAACAAACACAGAGAATAATTTGTAGACTAGCAAATAAGGCAGCGCATTAGTAAGAGAGAGAAAACCAGCAATATGAGAAGGCTGTGCCATATGTTACTACTGAAATCACGTGTATTCCTTACCTATTGCCCATGTGGTTGCATTGCTATTTAGAAAAATCTGTGTGTAGAAGACTGTAGTATATGTACTCTTTGTTTGTGTGCGTGTATGTATGTTGAAGCTTTATTTGCAATGTGGTGGGGATGGGAAACAGAATTTGGGGGCTGGCTGTGTAGGCCTTTAGAATGTGAGCAGGAGGTCTTAATGATTTATATTTTTATAGATTGTGCTGAAGCTTTGGGTCCCAGCCACACATAGCCTTTTCTTCCAGAAAAATAGAACGGTATGAGAAGCGAGCAAGGTGGCTGTAATATAGTAGGGACAGTACAAACCCCACCAGCCCTGGACGGACTAATGTAACTTAATAAAAGATGCCTTTTTAAGTAATATTTTTTTAGTGCTAAATTGTTAAACAAAGAAATATTTATGAGCAAACTTTCTATGTACTTAAAGTTTGTGTGGTGCTTTGTACTAACTAGGTGGACCTGTTAAATGTTTACATATCTTAATAATTGTCCTCGAGATGTATATAGTAATTCAATGAATTTTATGCCAGAAAAAACAGTGGAGTTCTGTGTAATAGCAAATTACTTAATTTCTAATGAAATGGTAGGCTTTTTTAGTGTTTGTGTATTTTCTGGTTGGCAGTTACAAGTGGTATTCTTTCTGCAGTAAGGCTTATACACTTGATTGTAGAGAGAGGCAGTAGGATGGTAGATAATACTATTTAAAAGAAAACCCTAAATATTGCTACCTTATCCATTATAAAATCAGGTAAGTTGTGACATAAGCCTGAAACTTGGGTTTTGCATTAGAGTAAGATACCAAACTACTGGGGGCAGGCTAAAAATGGGTCACAGGTTTGTTTATTTACCTGAATAGGTCTGGAGGATCCTATAGGTACCCAATAACAGCATGTAAATAAATGAGAGATTAGAACAGGACTAGT